CTTCGAATCTAAACCGCGCAAGTTTTTATGATCGAGGCATCCGTATGCTGCCAGAACGTTGGGAAAAGATTATAGAAAACGATGGAGAATATATCATTGATTGAATAAAGATTTTTGTTTGCCTAATCACTGTGTGACTTTTACTCACAAACTCCGCACAAACTTTTGCACTCACCCAATACATGTGCCACATGTATGCGGCTTTCGTTGCGCGTTTTCCCTTCCACCGTGAGTCGCGGAGCCGCTAGTAAGCTGTTTCGCTCAGAGTGCGACAAGGCGAGCATGAACGGGCTATTTCAATCTCGCTCAGTGTGCCAAGCGCGTGAGAAGACAGAGAAAACCGAGTGGTGGGGTAAGCCTCTACCGTTCGCCTAAGAATTTCCAGCATTACTTGTGCCTGTGTCGCGTGTCTGTTCACTAGTGGTGAGACAAAGTCAAAACAATTCAATTGTTATCCTTCTCTTTATATATTATATATACATATATATACAATATATATATATATATATCATTTTCACTATAATCTGTTTTAGTAGCTCGGACATTAACCAGACTCAAATCATAGACATAAACCTCGTATCGTTACCGAGACATTGAGTTAGTTGACGTCTATTTTCTCAGGGGGCGTATCAGGACAGACATGTGCTTTCGTCTCAGGTTTCTCTCTGATAATACCAGAGAGAAGAAGAAGAGGTGTCACGGGCCGTTTTTAGCCGTGCCCAGTGTGAGGCGCCCTCTGCACAACCGTGCACATGAACTACGATGTCCACAACTCTTTTCTGATTTCCCCACCATGCACGCACCATAGCCAGCTAACAAGGGCTATATAAACTCATGGGGAAACGGATTTCGCCGTACTTGCGCAGGTAAGTAGTACTCATGGAACAATGAAAAACGCTAAATGGATAGAGTGCGCTTCTCAAGCGTTTTTGAGAAAAAACGCTTCAAAGTTTTGCGCGGTAATAAGTGCCGCTACAGTAGTGGGGCGACCAGGGGCGACCAAGCAGCGGCGGTGGCGAAGCATACTAGGCGAAGCGCTACGGAGCTGCAGGTCGCCTGTTCGTGTCCAGCCTGATTTCCAATTTTTTTTACTTTTTTTTACAGTAATGAAGTATTGCAGTTAATATGTAATAATGCGCACGAAATAGGTGGCTTCGTCGGACATTTTGCTTGCAGTATGTAATATAAAAAAATATATTTTTGCATGCAATAGGCGGTGCAATTAATTTATACGATATGTACGTAATGTACTAATGTTTCTTTATTTTAAAAGAAAAAAATACATACAAACTTTAAAGAAATCAGTCAATGCAACTACCCAAATAGCCAAAAAGATGTCTTTTAGATTTCTAAAAGATATCTCGCCATGTCTTGAGATATCTTACTTTTTTCCCCAAAAGATTTCTTTTAGGGATCTAAAAGATGTCTTACGCAACATTTTGAGATATCTTTTAGATATCTAAAGATGTCTTGAAGATATCCTTAAGTAATCCTGAAGAAGTCTTAAAGACATCTTGCAGAAATGTAAAAAGACATCTTATAGAGTATTAAAAGATCTCTATAAGATTTCTTTTATATATCTTCTAAATATCTAAAAGATGTCTTAAAAAAACATCTTGCCAGAAATGTAAAAGACATCTAAAAGATTTCTTTTACACATATCTCAAAGATGTCTAACAAATATCTTTTAGAAGTCTTCAATATATTTTAAAAAACATAAAATATTGAGAAATGAAATAACAAATAATAGCATTGCGTTAATATTATATTTATTGACGATTATATTAACATTACAACACACACACACACATACATATATATATTGTGTATATATTTTTTATTTATAAATATATATTATTATATTTATAATTATTATATAAAAATTATATTAAATTATATATTAATTATTAATATATAATTATTAATTATATATTAAATATTATAATTATTACACTTTATATTTGACTGTTTTATAATAAAATATGTTTTCATATAAATTATATAACGTAACAACATTGTTTGCGTTAAAACGTTACTTGCTTGTTAAGATATGGGCGTAGCCAGAATTTTTTTTCAGGCAGACCATACACAAGCCACCTCTTTCAATTTAAGCATTCAATGCAAAAAAATTATATAAATTTTATCACTTTATTGCCGGTAAAAAATAAAAAAAAAACTTCAGCGCCTTCGTATAAAAAAATAAATTTTTTTCTACGTTTAGGGGACCGTCTTCCTCTGCCTCCTCCTGGCAACGCCCATGCAAGATATAATTAATTAATTTCTTATTATTAAGTATACAGGCTGTGCGGTAACTCGCTTTAGAAACACGATGTACAGGTAGATTAGGTGAAACTGAAGAAAAAATTCCTATATCATTTTGCGAAGAACCACATAAAATATAGAATTATTAATTAATTGATCATTAGCTAATTTCTTTAATTAATAACACAATTTTACGTCGTTCTTCGCAAAATCATAGAGGAATTGTTTTTTCAGTTTCACTTAATCTATTTTCATATCGCGGTTTTTAGCGGAATTATCGGGCACTCTGTATACTAATTACAGAGTAATTTATTGTTGCACTTTTTTGTTTCGATATCTCATTTTATCACCTGCATGTTGCAGCCAGTTTTTTACATGCTTGACAATCAATGTAATGGTACAGTCAGGTCCATTTCCTTTTGTACGATTGACAGTACCTGTGGATAGTATTTATATGTTTTTTAGTACTAGTAGATATATCTGGTTGGAAAAAATTCATATCTATTTATATAAACAAAAATAATAGTACTCTAAACATTATGACAAGTTATAGTCCTTACATATCACTAATGTTTAAAAGTATTTTTTGTATCTATATTTGAAAATGATATAAAAGAGAATTTAACATTTGGAAAAATTAAGAGACATATATATATATATAGTTTATTTGTAATTGTTAAAATATACGTACTAACTATAATGTTTGCAAAAGTTGTATTTTCGATTGCGATAGTATTTTTTGCACCAGTCCAAGTCAACTTGTGTCCTACATCAAATGTTATGCAATATGTGAGTATATTGGAGATCATTTTTTGTGTAGAGTCACCACCAATACACTTTATTTTCTTTTCCTGCAAAGAATAATGTTAATATAGACGTTAATGTTCGTATACGTGACTTTTTTTCTTTTATTATTTATTATTATTCGTATTTCGATATTACTATATACATATGGCCAAATCTATGTGAGCAGATTTCGAGTGCAATCTAATATCATCAACAGTAGATCGCAAGTAAACAATAAATTGATGCAAGATATATGAAATCCTGCTACCAAACTATTTTCACATATGCGACAATGTTTTCGATTGGGCATAAAATTATATATTGATGGATACGAAGAAAGTATTTGTACACATACACATATGTATGAATATATAGAGTGTTTGTTTAGGGATCATATTCAATGGAGGCATAGAACTGATTAAGATAAACAAGAAAGTCAAATATCATGTAGTAAAATAAAAAAAAAGCCGATTTATGCATGAACAAAAATTGGTTGTAGAACTCACGTTCGGTCTCTGCAGCTCGCAGATCGAGTTAAATCATCTAACGATACTTACCGGCACGTGACAAGCAGAAGGGAAAATGTGCAGAAATAATCCTTTCTTCTTCTTGCCGCGCGCCCGATAACTATTGCTAGACGACTTGATTCGATATGCGAGCTTCAGCGACCAAACGCACCTCTTACTACCGCTGCGATGCACGATTTTTATTCATGCATTACTCAGTAATTTTTTATGATTTTTGCAAAAAGATATTTGACTTTTGTTTATCTTAATCAGCTCTATGCCTCCATTGAATATGATCCTTTAGTTAACAAATACTCTGTATACACACCACACACACACACACATACACACACACACACACACAGACACACACACACATATATATATATAATGTGCAATTCAATTAGTGATTCATTGACTGATATGAAGAAAATATTTATTATTCAATATATTCATATGTGTGTGTGATATATATATATATATATATCACACACACATATGAATATAAATACTTTCTTCATATCAGTCAATGAATCACTGATTGAATTGCACATTATTCAAAATATACTTACAAAACATTTACGAATTGCTTCATCATTTTTCAATGTTTCATTAAATTGTACGTAAAAACGTATTCCTCGACGGATGTCATTGAAAATTCAGGCATTAAATCCATAGTTATTGCTTCATTTTCTTCATTTCTTTGGAAACTTTCTCTTAAAATAGCAACTATTTCTTTCAATTTTGTGTTATTTTTAGCTGCTTCGTGTTTTATCTCTGTTTTGAATTGTTGAAAGTCTTGATGTAAAGTATCTACTTTTTCATATAAAGAACCTGCAAGAAGAACTATTTATATTTCATCATTCATATTTTACTGTAAGCATCTTCAGAGACTAATTTTTTAATGTTATTAATAACTTTGTACACTACAATATACGATAAAAGTATTTTGGAATATAATAATAACTATATTATATATGATGACAATACTAAAACAATACATTACTAAAATTTACAAATTTTTAGAAATGATTTACTATTTTCACTGTTTAGTATTCATTAGTATGATCAATCAATTAGTATTCATCTATATGAAAGAAAGTATTCATCTATATGAAAGAAAAATGTATTTTACTTATAATTAATGTATATCCTCGTCTACATTCATTTCTGTAATTGGGAGAGCCTTCATCGCTAAATAAATAATAGAAATAGGTTCACAGATTATTGAATTTACTTATTCAACTAACTTTATATAATATATGCCATGACAAAAAGTATACCGCTATATAATTTGTCATTATTACCAATTATCTCATTTTCCTTATTATCGATGTTCCGATCATAATCACGAGAATTAGTATCATCCGTCATCTCTTATCATCTTGCTCATCCTCATGAAAAACTTGAATTGAAAATTGGTGTTCATTTAAAGGTGAAGGGACATTGCAATTAGATGGATTATTTTTGACGGATAAAATTTTATCTTCCTCCTGGAATTCAAAGTATATTAATATACAAATTGTATGTGTGTGTAAATCTAACATATACGTGTGTGTGTACAATATATATTTATGTATGTATTTATAAATTAAATAACGATTTTTGTCCGAATTTATTCAACTCTCATCTATATTTACATATTAAATAAAAATATAAATACTATTAATTAAGTAATAATTATTCACGTATTGTAATAAATATATAAATGGTTTTATCAAATGCTACTATTTTGTTTCACTGAACAACATAGAAATGCGTGTGAAATGTCTATTTTTGCAGCTATGTATTGATAGTTACGATTATTCCAATTATAAATTATTAAAAAATAATCGATGTCTGAATAAAAGCACGTCCTAATTAGCGCTATTTTTCTCTATATATTAATCATTAATATTTGTAGTACTCACCCGCTTCTGCACGTTATATTCCGAACTCACTGATCTAAAATGTAATGAATTTTTCTCAAGTTCAACATTTGTAGATGTAGCTCCAATCCCTTCGTGTATTTTATAATTTGATGGGGGATGTTGATTTGATTTATATTTCTTGGAAATATTACCTATATTTTATAGAAAATTAGTTTTTTCAACGATTTACGACTTATCTTTATAATTATATACTTATCTTTATAATTATATACTTATATATAGTATATAATTATATTAGTAAATTAGTTTTGTTACTCATTTTCAATGTGCTACTTTACGTTTTATCATATTATATTTTGTAATTTGCTGTAATAGAATTTGAAACTTACAATTATTCACGTAATTATTCGATTCATCGTCATAAAATTTTTTTTTCGTTATCAAACGTTTCAGAGGCAATGTTTGGATTGGTTCATTTAAAGAAGCAAATTGAATATCATCCGAAGTGGATATATCAATACAAGATTTTTCTGCTTCCCGAGCCTTATCAAATGTATTGTAAGGTCCTAAAATTTTATGAAAATGACTGATGTTCCAATCATTTCCAGGATTTATCTTCTTCTTTATTGTATTGGTAATATTTTTTTTAGACAATGGAAACGTAAATGTTTTTGCATTAAAGTTTACCCAAGAATCGGGAACGACTTGGCAGTATTCGTCCCAAAATACGACGTAATACATCTGTAACAATAAATACTGATTAAGTAATGATGAAGTATTTAAGAGAATAAATGAAAATAATTTCACTCATAATTATTATGATTTTCTATCCTAAAGCATCCAAATTATGGTTCAAACTTGTCATAATTTATTGTTAAAAAATATTTATATATATAAAACTTATTATTTATATAAATATCTATCATAATTACAAATTGGATTAAACAATATTATTTGTATAATATAATATATTTATGTATGATATAATACAATTTATAAATTACTAGTTTTATTTATAAATTATTACAGTTGTTTTTATAAAAAATAACAACTCACTTCAATCATTAGTATGTAGAATAGGAATTATACAAAATGTATCTTTGTAAGGAAGTCGCATTGCTTTTGCGCTTATTTGACTTATTGGATACATTCCAATTTCAGACCATTCATTTCCGACATAGATTTTCAAATTTCGCGAATCACATGGATATGAAGATATATTATCGAAATTTTTTAACTTTTTTCCAAGTATTACTGTTTCTCCATTCTTTTTTCCAATATATTCAATCATGAGAACATTTCTGTTATTCATATAACAATAAGAATCGGCTTCTTTGATGCAGGATAGTGTAAATTTTTCAAATATTATTTCTTTATGAGATTGTGTACATCCAAACAATAATTCTTCGTTCTTGGCATTTTGAAGAATGGGATATTCTTCAGGTTTATACCCAATATTTCTTACAGTTTGACATTTTTCCATTAATCGTCTGTGCAATTGTTGTAACGGTTGTGCATTTTTTCGTAGCATTCGTTTCATTTCTTGAAAATAATTTTCGAATGGAAAAGCACTGAACATGTCCAGACACCCATGATTCTTAACATCAACATGTAAATGAACCAAGTTATGTACATTGTATGTAACGTAGTTCTCAGAATATAACATTTTAAATGTTTGTACAAAATGTACTAATAATTCATGTGCATATTCGTTATTGTATTCGCAATCGGCAGGATTACAAAGAATATAAATTGCACAATGTAGAACATAAAAATGTCTCAAATAATCATTTGGCAAATATGACCATAAAATTGATAGACTAGTATATAAGAGAAACAGTCTAAATTCTGTCGCTTTCCAGCGATCTAATTCATCTAAACCTCTTGGTTTCCTAGAAAATTCTCTAGGTATGTATGTTATTAACTGCTTTAAATCTATAGATAATTGATCAATTTGAGAAGCACGCAGTTTAATGCCCTTTATTCCTCGGATCCACATATTTATAAGTCTTTTCATGACACCGAGACAAACAAGATGCATATAATCTAATGGGAACTGTGTTACCATTTTCAATCCAATGTTTTCAAAAGGTGAATTATCCACATGATGATCTTCATTATGTCGTAATAAAAATTTTGCATCTGTGCGTAATGGAGCATTTTCATTAAGGAATAACATTCGATTGTTCCTCCATTCACCTTCCTCTTCACATTTATCGCATCCATAATATCCTGTATGACTTTTAATACATTTCATGAATGCTTTTGCCGGGGCGTCGCATATTATAGCATTTATTAAAACTTTGTATTTTTTTCCTCGATATTGGAATCCTTTATTTTGAATTTCACTATATTCTTCAATAAATTGATGAATAATCTCATTCGGTTTCTTCGGCTTACAATATCCGTGGAATACTCCAATGACAAAAGGTTTTTCTCTATAATGAACGTGGACAATTTGCCCTAAAAGTGGCCAAAATTGCGATTTAGAACTCTTTGCCAATGGTAGTCCGTCAATGCTTAAGTTGATTTTAATTTCATTTTCACAACGTTCATGGAGAGGTTTATTATATCGTAAATGATTCTTCAATGCTGTCTGCAATCCATGATAATAAAAAGTACCAGAATGATTCTTAATTATTGATGTTGTTCTCGGAGTTCCCAATAAAGTTCTCGCATTACAAGGAAGCTTTTCATATCCATTGATTTTGAGACCTTGAAGCAATTTTGTTAGAGCCACATGAGTAATATTATACTCAAGACTCCATGTCCGAAGAAATTTGTATAATGCAAGTTCTTTCTGTACATTAAAACTCAAATCTTTATAACATTGATTATTGCATTCGGCAATCAATTCCATATCAGATTCTGAATAACTACAATTTGAATAAGAATCAATTCTTTGATTGCATTCTTCGACATCTCCATACATATATATATTATTATTATTCAAATAATTGTTACTATTCTCTTCAATAAGAATATTGTCATTAGACATTTCATGAGGAATCTCAATGTCTAAATTAATATTATATGTATCGCCTGTATCAATAGTATGTACTGCACAATCAATATTTTGTCGCCGACGCCATTGTTGAGACCGACTCAAATCGTTATATCTTTTTCTTTTCGGCATTATTAATTTTTTTATTATATGTCGTTTGAAACCTACATACAAATGATGAAAATTTCATGATATAAAGGCAAAATATTTAATAAATAATATGTAGTTCTTCCACATATAAAAATACGAAAATCGAATATCGAATATATGAAAAAGTGAAATTATTCCAGATATTTAATATTTAATATTATTATATTAATTATGCCAGAGTATGAAATATCTTTTAAACTATTATATTTTTTAATTTTATCTTTGAATGAATATCAATGATTTTATTACAAAGATATTTCGTGTAGATTAAAAAAGAAACATCATATCCTATTTCTTCTTTGTAGTAGCGTCCAGATGAGTACTGCGTCCTGGAACAGCTTTATATCGACGTTTCAGAAACGTTGCAGTTTGCATCTTAAGAGCTGAGAGCTTTGATATTAATTATTCTCTCCTCTTCTTTCTTCAACACAAGGAAAGGGATACCTAAGCACACTCACGAAAGAGGAAAATTCAATATCAGGACTCCTCAGCCTTGAAGATGCAAACTGCAATGTTAGCGAAACGTCGACATAAAACTGTTTCAGGACGCGGTACTCAACCGGAAACTATTACAATGAAGAAATTCACCGACCATGAAACCCTCAAATCTGAAACAATCAGTGCACATACTAACGTCAGATTGGCGACAGATCCACAGACATCTGTGTCCACAATCTGCTGTTAGACTGCCGGCAGAGTATGCTAACACAATCTATGACAGCTCTGACAGCAGCTTGATGGCAGAATGCAGATCTTGCTAACGTCTATTAGCAGGCTCTGCACGCAATATACCACGAATCTGCCATAAAAACCTAATTAATACATACTGTGTGCAATCTATTGCCTTTGTGTTACAAATGCTGCTAAGAGATTGCTCGCACAGGTTTGGTTATTTGCTTATTATATTATTTCTAGTTTTCAATTTTTCAAAGAATCGTAATCATTACTTGAACATACCTTATCGAGGAGTTTACCAGCAAGTAATTCATAAAATTAGATAATTTCTATGGCGATAATTGTGTGAAGACGGAAGACAACAACCAAGTACTACTGGTACAGTCCGAATATTGTGTCAATTCCGTTGTAAACCTAAACATAAAATGTGATTGATTAAAATCCTAATGTTCATTGAAGTACAAGATGTAGCACATTTATTACTAACATTATAATTTTCCAGCAAAACATAAGGTTAGGATAGAGTAAATTATATTAAAATATTCTTAGTTATACAAATCGCACAGAAAATATTAAACATTGAATGGCAAAAGGATTTAAGTATAAAGACAGATACAATTGTAAATTTGAAGGATTTCGAAGGATTACCTTTGATAAATATCGGATCCTTGAACCGCACGTTTCTTTTCGGTGGGAAGTCATGAGGTCTGTTGTTTGGAATTGCACTGCTGAACTATCTAATCAAATGTTGCACGGATTATTTCATTGGCTACGAAGTGTCTCAAGGGCTGCGTTCTGTAATTCACTGACAGCATTGAAATGCTATAGTATACGTTACATGAACTATAGATTTTCAGTACTGGCAGTGAATTAGGGAATGTAGCCAAGATAAGCTTCAGAAGGTCTTAAATGTAATGGAGGATTGTGTCACAAATACTGCTAATAGATTGCTCGCACAGGTTTGGTTATTTGCTTGTTATGTTATTTCTAATTTTCAATTTTTCAAAGAATCGTAATCATTACTTGAATACCTTATCGAGGAATTTATCAGCAAGTAATTCATTAAATTAGATAATTTCTATGGCGATAATTGTGTGAAGACGGAGGAAAACAACCAAATACTACTGGTACAGTCCGAATATTGTGTCAATTCCGTTGTAAACCTAAACATAAAATGTGATTGATTAAAATCCTAATGTTCATTGAAGTACAAAATGTAGCACATTTATTACTAACATTAATTTTCCAGCAAAACATAAGGTTAGGATAGAGTAAATTATATTAAAATATTCTTAGTTATACAAATCGCACAGAAAATATTAAACATTGAATGGCAAAAGGATTTAAGTATAAAGACAGATACAATTGTAAATTTGAAGGATTTCGAGGATTACCTTTGATAAATATCGGATCCTTGAACCGCACGGTTTCTTTTCGGTAGGAAGTCACGAGGTCTGGGAGTCGATTGCGTGTATTGAAACAAGTGAATGACAAAAGTGAGTGAATTTACTAGAATTCACCACGTTTCAAGATACGCAATCGATCTGTTTTTGTTTACCTCCCAGATAGCACAATGTCTACAAAGATGTTTAAAAACTTCTAAAAGAAGTAGGACGTCTTTTAGACATCTTTTAGAAGTCTAAAAGACATGTTTGCGCACATTTTGCTATCTGGGCTGTTCTTTGTTGTTATTTGTCTGTTGTTTGTTGTTATGTTGCACGGATTATTTTATTGGCTACGAAGTATCTCAAGGGTTGCGTTCTGTAATTCACTGACAGCACTGAAATTCTATATACGTTACATGAACTACAGATTTTCAGTATTGGCCGTGAATTAGGGAATGCAGCCAAGATGAACTTCAGAATGTCTTAAATATAATTGAAGATTCACACGAGATCGGATGATACGATATATCCCATAGGAGAACAATTTCTTATAGAATACCGGCCTTAGGGCCGGTTGTTCCAAGTTTAAAGTAATTAGTTAATTTGTCTATTTTTATTCCTTCCTTAAATTAGACAGATAAATTATGATTAAACTATTATTTAACTTACCAAGAAGTTGAAACAATCGGCTCTTAAAGATATCTTCTAAAAGATATCATTTAGATATCTATTACAAATATATTGAAGATATCTTTTAAGATATCTTTCAGATGTCTATAGATATCTTTTATAAATTCTACAAAGATATCTTCCACTACATCTATTTAGATATCTTATAGACAACTTGTAGATATCTTTTAGAAATATCTTAAAGAAATCTTTCATAAGATATCTTTTAGACATCTACAAGACCTCGTTGTTTTCTGGGTAGTTCACGTGTACATTTTAACGTTTTATACCTGCGCCGGCCGCAACGGTCAACCCTTAGACAAAATTTGCCATAGGATCAAAGAAACTTTTTGTTCGCTTCGGCTATCCACATGCTTACAATAAGGGAACCGGCTTTCAAGGGTCGGCCTTGTCACTCGTTGATTTTTGTTGGTTTCAGTGAGTTCATGCGGAACCCATTTTCCTTCTTTCTGGATCTTTCCTATCTCATGTAGGCGTTTGGAAATCGTTTGCTGCGTTACTCCCAACTGCTCTGCAAGCTCTTTTTGTGTTTGTGCCGAATTCTCAGCGAGCAGTTGTTCCAAAACATCATTATCGCGTCGGAGAGCCTCCAGGGCGTTGTTTGTCGATTAGACTGAAATTATTGCTTTTAAACCGCTTAAACAAAAATGCGCACACATCGTACGATACAACACCTTCGCCGAGAAAGGAACAAATCGATTCGTACGCTTTTGTAGCATTTTTTTCTTGTTGGAATTCGTAAAGAATGCAGTGTCGGATATGCACCTTATCTGTTGCCATTTTCGACTGTATTGAACTGAATACTTTTGAAGGTTATGTTGGGCCTTTCGCCAAACTATGTTCTTTTTGATAGCTATATGTCAACATTGCATAATCACAAAAGAGAATCTATTCAATTTAAAATTGATTTCATAACTGTTTACCAAGTTTGTAAATATGAAACCGGGATTTGCCCATAGATGGCTCTAGCTGTCAATGTATTGACGCATAAAAATAACGTGTCAAAATAACACACTCGGATTTGCGTTGTATCGCGATTATATCTAGGAATCAATTTTATGCCGAGTATCGTTGGTGCACCATTGACAACGATGGTCCTCTTTTCGCAATTGTACGATACAGAACTTTCAGTTCCTTCTGTCGTTAATATACCACTGACAAGAATTACGATATAAGACAATTTATGCATGATATATGGTAAAAATGTTTGGTCCATGATACAGCTTGCAAATGAAATATGAACGATACAGAGAAATATTAACTGAAAATATTAACACTGAATCTAATTCATCAAGGTTTATGGTTAACTTAAAAAAAATTGTACTTTTTTCAATCAAAATTTCTTAATCGTTCTCTCTCGCTCTCTCTCTCTCTCTCTCTCTTTCTCTCTCTCATTTCGTCAGAAATGAGTTCATTCAACCAAACATATTTTCCGTGTAGACTTGAACAAGACGATAAGACACGATGAGTCTCTACGCGAATTCTATCATACTCTAACAATTAAATATTCTCCTAACGATAGAGTACAATAGAGTACGATGAAAAGTGTTCATCGTATTCTATCTTTACGCGATATCATTTCTTTCGGATCCGATGCAGCAAAACGATAGATTGCGAGAAAACTGTAAGGTGTAGGTTCGTAACTGTACTGGATATAGAGCCGACTATTGGCTACGAGCGTTAGAATCAAGATATTGCGCATGTGTCGATCCTCGTGAGAGAACGAGCTCGCCGAAAAGAGGAGAAGACGGAGAGACAGAGAGAGAGCGGAGAGTCTGGAGACAAACGTCGAAGGGTTAAGTTGTATAAAGAGTATTGTCGAGAAATAGCGAATAGAGCTAGTCGATTTAATAAAGCTGTCGAAATTGTGATTAAATATAAGAAATTGTGTTCGTGTTTAAATATACTTTATTGAAGAAAAGCTAGGCTATCTAATACATTTCCTTGTTGGACTCTTTTTGCCGTACGCTACACGCTGCTACGTTTATTTCATACGAGAATCCTGATACCAATCCTTGAGCATCGAGAACCTTCTAGAAAGGGACAGCCTGACACCCCTTTCCTGGATAGAGTTCTTGTTCGACCTATAGAATCCTAAAGAGATCTTACAAAACGATGAGAATCTTTGTAGATCTCATCGCTCTCTATCGCTTTCTCCTTTTCGATGTTTTCCTTGATCAAAGAACTTTTGAATCTTGAACTTTACAATTCAATATGAGCTATCTGTGGTACCTCATAAAATAATCTCATAATTGTAATCGCGAATATTCAGCGGCCATATCGGCGCGAGCTTAGACGCGGTACGGCGGGATGTAGGAGCGGCGAGGTAAGGACATAAACATTGGCGCGTCGTCCTTCCTCTCGCCGCGCGCCGGCAACAGTTCCTTTGTCGACTGGGCAGTGCTCTTTAGCCTGAGCGGCTAGATGCTCCTCCCATAACGTCTCGACGTGCACTCATTCCTCAGATTTCTGTCATTAATAACTCGATAATTACTGCGAATCTCACAAAACGATATGGAACTTTTATATTTGTCTTAACCCGCTCTATGTTTCCACGAGCTCTGCCAGATTAGTTATAAGACACCCTATATACAGGGTGTCCCATTTTAATCCGGCCGGCTGAATAAAATTCGAGGATGATATTTTCCAGAAAAAAATGTCAAACAAATGTTGCTCAGTTCTAAGGGGGACATTCGATACTATCAACAATTTTGACCTCGGGTGAAGGGTTCAAGGTCATTCAAGGTCAACTTTTTTTTCTTAAATGGGAACCCCTATTTTTCACATTGGCAATTGGTTCTACGTAAAAGAAAATGAAACTTTTGTCTGAAGCATTTTTTTTATAACGCAAACTAATTTCACTTATTCAGCCTCCAAAATTGAAATTTTCAAACTTTCTGAATTTTTTACTGGAGAATGGTGGAGTTTGGGAGGAAATTGCAGAAGACAAAAAGTTCTTGGAATGCTGCAAGGAATTCACTCGAATTTTCGCATAGTTGATCGTGCACTTTTTTCGAGGTACTTCCTGACAGGTAGAACATTGGCGGGAAAAAGTGCACGATCAACTATGCGAAAATTCGAGTGAATTCCTTGCAGCATTCCAAGAACTTTTTGTCTTCTGCAATTTCCCCCCAAACCCCACCATTCTCGAGTAAAAAATTCAGAAAGTTTGAAAATTTCAATTTTGGAGGCTGAATAAGTGAAATTAGTTTGCGTTATAAAAAAAATGCTTCAGACAAAAGTTTCATTTTCTTTTACGTAGAACCAATTGCCAATGTGAAAAATAGGGGTTCCCATTTAAGAAAAAAAAGTTGACCTTGAATGACCTTGAACCCTTCACCCGAGGTCAAAATTGTTGATAGTATCGAATGTCCCCCTTAGAACTGAGCAACATTTGTCTGACATTTTTTTCTGGAAAATATCATCCTCGAATTTTATTCAGCCGGCCGGATTAAAATGGGACACCCTGTATAATTAGTATTTATTGCATGCATTTTTTAATTAATACATTTGTATGTATGTTGTTTGTATGTATGTATAAATAACATTTATATGTATATATATACAGGATGTTTGATAGCTGATCATGCAGACGAAAGTTGGGGATAGATTGGGTGTAGCCGAGAAGAAAAGTCATGTACCATAATGTCAAATTGCCAATAGTTATCGAGTTATTAATTAAAACATGTGAGCCAACGAGCGCGTAGAGAGCGGAGGGCGACCGCAGTAAGCACGTAGACATTTGATACAGGCGGAGTCAGCGAGTGTCGATAGGCAAGCGCGCGCGGCGAGGGGCAACGTAAACGACAAGAGGCGAGCGCGCGCGACGAGGAGCGAGCGAGCGCGAACGACGAGGAGCGAGCGAGCGCAAGCGACAAGAGGCGAGCGAGCGCGACGAAGAGCGAGCGAGTACGAACGACGAGGAGCGAGCGAGCTATAAGGAAAAAGC